ATTACATGATAACTTGATTGGAATTAAAACCCTGAGTTGACAGTTTGATACTTTTTTGAGCCAGCCCTACCCCCAAGGGCTGTAGGGTGGGGCCCAAAGGATTCAGAGTGCTAAAATTTCTTCATTTTCCTTGTTTAGAATCAGAGGTGCTAGTTTCAAATACATTTCAGTCTTAAATCTGTATGCTAGATATTGAATAAGGTGGTTTTATTGTTTTTTGTCACTTTGAATAATATTTCTGTTCATGTTTTAAAAACAAAAATCAACTCTCTGTATAAATATATCAGAACTCAGGTGACCGTTAAGGCCCATGGGCCTCTTGTTTCTATTAGACTTTCAAAATTGCTGGAAAGAAAACAAAAAAAGTACAGTATATAAAGCAATCTTGTTAGATTTTGATATCGTGTTTGAAAATAAAATCTCACTCAACAAGGATGTAAGCTAGCCAGCCCCATGCAGTTTCCTTGTGAGGTAGCGAACAGTTCTACTTTTAAATAAAAGGGTCTCAGTAATTACCTTGCCTGTTTATGTACAGTCAAAACAGATTCTTTTAAACAAATGAACTACATGAACAGGTGACAGGTGATAATTATCTACTACACATTATTTCTGTGACATCTAAAATGTACTTCATATAGAACATTTGTAATTGGGCCTTTAAAAGTATTCATTTCAGCAGCAGCACCTGTACAACTGCCCCTTTCCCAGTAGCAACACACTCATCCCTGTAGTCATATCCCTATGGATCCCATTGTAACTACAACGTACACCCCTATCCCTGAAGTCACATCCCTTTCCATGCAGCCAAGCCCCTTTCCCTGTAGCCAATCCCCTATCCCTGTACCTACACCTATATACCTGTAGTCACATCCCTTTCCATGTAGCCAAGCCGCTAACCCTGTAGCCAATCCCCTATCCCTGTCCCTCCACCTATATACCTGTAGTCACATCCCTTTCAATGTAGCTACACCCCTATCCCTGTGCCTACACCTATATACCTGTAGTCGCATCCCTTTCCATGTAGCCAAGCCCCTAACCCTGTAGCCAAGCCCTTATCCCTGTGCCTACACCTATATACCTGTAGTTACATCCCTTTCAATGTAGCTACACCCCTATCCCTGAAGTCACATCCCTTTCCATGTAGCCAAGCCCCTTTCCCTGTAGTCACACCCTATACCTGTAGTCACACCCCTATCCCTGTAGTCACACCCAATCCCTCTAGTCACACCCCTATCTCTGTAGTCACACCCTATCCCTCTAGTCACACCCCTATCCCTGTAGTCAAACCATATTCCTCTAGTCACACCCCTTTCCCTCTAGTCACACCCCTATCCCTGTAGCCAAGCCCCTTTCCCTGTAGTCACACCCTATCCCTGTAGTCACACCCTATCCCTGTAATCACACCCTATCCCTGTAGTCACACCCTATCCCTGTAGACACAGCCATATCCCTCTAGTCACACCCCTATCCCTGTAGTCACTACATATCCCTCTAGTCACCCCCCTTTCCCTGTAGTCACCCCCTATCCCTGTAGTCACCCCCCTATCCCTGTATTCCCACCCCTATCCCTGTAGCCAAGCCCCTTTCCCTGTAGCCAATCCCCTATCCCTGTACCTACACCTATATACCTGTAGTCACAATGTATAAGACATGGTTAGAGTGGTACCATGCATATGTGCATGATTGTCCCTGAAGTCACATCCCTTTCCATATAGCCAAGCCCCTTTCCCTGTAGCCAATCCCCTATCCCTGTACCTACACCTATAAACCTGTAGTCGCATCCCTTTCAATGTAGCTACACCCCTATCCCTGTGCCTACACCTATATACCTGTAGTCGCATCCCTTTCCATGTAGCCAAGCCCCTAACCTTGTAGCCAAGCCCTTATCCCTGTGCCTACACCTATATACCTGTAGCTACACCCCTATCCCTGAAATCACATCCCTTTCCATGTAGCCAAGCCCCTTTCCCTGAAGTCACACCCTATACCTATAGTCACACCCCTATCCCTGTAGTCACACCCTATCCCTCTAGTCACACCCCTATCTCTGTAGTCACACCCTATCACTCTAGTCACCCCCCTATCCCTGTAGTCACACCCTATTCCTCTAGTCACACCCCTTTCCCTCTAGTCACAGCCCTATCCCTGTAGTCACTACATATCCCTCTAGTCACGCCCCTTTCCCTGTAGTCACACCCTATCCCTGTAGTCACCCCCCTATCCCTGTAGTCACACCCTTTTCCTCTAGTCACACCCCTATCCCTGTATTCACACCCCTATCCCTGTAGCCAAGCCCCTTTCCCTGTAGCCATGTATACTGCATATGTATAAGACATGGTTAGAGTGGTTCCATGCATATGTGCATGATTGTCCCTGAAGTCACATCCCTTTCCATGTAGCCAAGCCCCTTTCCCTTTAGCCAATCCCCTATCCCTGTACCTACACCTATAAACCTGTAGTCACATCCCTTTCAATGACGCTACACCCCTTTCCCTGTAGCCAATCCCCTATCCCTGTACCTACACCTATATACCTGAAGTCACACCCCTACCCCTGTATTCACACACTATCCCTTGAGTAACACCACTATCCCTGAAGTCACACCCTATCCCTCTAGTCACACCCCTTTCCTTGTTGTCACACCCCTATCCCTGTAGCCAAGCCCCTATCCCTGTAGTCACCCCGTATCCCTGTAGTCACACCCTATCCCTGTAGTCACACACTATCCCTCTAGTCACACCCTATCCCTGTAGTCACTACCTATCCCTCTAGTCACACCCCTTTCACTGTAGTCACACCCTATCCCTGTATTCATCCCCTATCCCTGTAGTCACTACCTATCCCTCTAGTCACACCCCTTTCCCTGTAGTCACACCCTATCCCTCTAGTCACACCCCTATCTCTGTAGTCACACCCCTATCCCTGTAGCCAAGCCCCTTTCCCTGTAGCCATGTATACTGCATATGTATAAGACATGGTTAGAGTGGTACCATGCATATGTGCATGATTGTCCCTGAAGTCCCATCCCTTTCCATGTAGCCAAGCCCCTTTCCCTGTAGCCAATCCCCTATCCCTGTACCTACACCTATAACCTGTAGTCACATCCCTTTCCATGTAGCCAAGCCCCTTTCCCTGTAGCCAATCCCCTATCCCTGTACCTACACCTATATACCTGAAGTCACACCCTATCCCTCTAGTCACACCCCTATCCCTGTAGTCACACCATATCCCTGTTGTCACACCATATCCCTGTAGTCACACCCCTATCCCTGTAATCACTACCTATCCCTCTAGTCACACCCTTTTCCCTGTAGTCACCCCCTATCCCTGTAGTCACCCCCTATCCCTGTAGTCACACCCTATTCCTCTAGTCACACCCCTATCCCTGTAGCCAAGCCCCTTTCCCTGTAGCCAATCCCCTATCCCTGTACCTACACCTATATACCTGTAGTCACATCCCTTTCAATGTAGCTACACCCCTATCCCTGTACCTACACCTATATACCTGAAGTCACATCCCTTTCCATGTAGCTACACTCCTATTCCTGTAGTCACACCCCTATCCCTGTACCTTCACCTATATACCTGTAGTCACATCTCTTTCAATGTAGCTACACCCCTATCCCTGTACCTACACCTATATACCTGTAGTCACATCTCTTTCCCCTATCCCTGTACCTACACCTAGATACCTGTAGTCACATCTCCTTCAATGTAGCTACTCCCCTATCCCTGTACCTATACCTATATACCTGAAGTCACATGCCTTTCCATGTAGCTACACCCCTTATCCTGTAGTCACACCCCTATACCTGTAGTCACACCCCTTTCAATGTAGCTACGCCCCTATCCCTGTACCTATACCTATATACCTGAAGTCACATGCCTTTCCATGTAGCTACACCCCTTATCCTGTAGTCACACCCCTAACCCTGTAGCCAAGCCCCTATCCCTGTACCTACACCTATATACCTGTAGTCACATCCCTATCCCTGTAGTCACACCATATCCCTGTAGTCACACCCTATCCCTGTAATCACACCCCTATCCCTGTAATCACTACCTATCCCTCTAGTCACACCCTTTTCCCTGTAGTCACCCCCTATCCCTGTAGTCACCCCCTATCCCTGTAGTCACACCCCTATCCCTGTAGCCAAGCCACTTTCCCTGTAGCCATGTATACTGCATATGTATAAGACATGGTTAGAGTGGTACCATGCATATGTGCATGATTGTGCAATTCACATGTGTTACTTTTAGCGTACACTACGTGCTAAATGGATACTACCCATATCTGTTTCTTTCGATGTGCCAGTATGTGTACTACACATGAGTGACACAGAGTACACACTACATATGTTTGTGTGCTAGTGTGTGTACACCACATATGTGACACAATAAGTGCAGTGCTATGTTGGTGTGCTTGTAGGTGTATTTACTACACATGTGACACTTTGAGAACACAATGCACCAGTGTGTGTAATACACATGTGACACTTTGAGGACACACCACATGTGTAGGTTTGTGTGATAGTATGTGTGTACTACACATGAGTGGCCTGAGTACACACTACAAATGTTGAAAAGCTAGTGTGTGTACACCACAAATGTGACACAATTAGTGTGGTGTTATGTAGGTGTGCTTGTGTACACTACACATGAGCAACACAATAAATGTGTATACTACACACATTTAATTATAATTTGTAGATGTAGGGCGCATATTTTACAAGGTAAGTGTGGTTCCATACAGTTGATCTGTACCAACACATTTGACACAGTAGATATATTTACATGTGTGTGCTTGTGTGTGTACTACACATGTGTAACACAATGGGTGAATATACAATAAGTTTGTATATGTGTGGGACACATATTTGACAAAGTGGGAGTGTATACATATGGTACCATATTTGTGAATGTTTTGTCACATGTGCTAAAGCTGTACAACACATTTGACACAAAGTACATGTTTACATCTGTGTGACACTGGGACCTACTGTAAGATGGTTCTGGTCCTCCATGGCTCACAGCCTCCCAACACTGCCTTCTGATGCTACTTCTCCATGGTAACTATCCAAGCTGTCCCTGCACTTCCTGTGGAAGGCAATTGTAGAGAGATAATGGCCTGGTGCCCTAACACATCTCTGTAATCTCAAACACTCAACTCCTTGTACTTAATCGTAATTTACAGGATTTCTTAACATGCTCACTGGAGGGAACGGAAGCTTCTAACGCTAGTGATTATGAACTTTTTTCTCCACATCCAAGTAATGAAAGCCAACAAACTTACCTATATTTAAAATGGACTGATCTAACTGTCATATTTCTCATTTAGATGTGAAAATTTCACATGAAATTTTTCTTCCACTTTTTTTTCATTTACAATATATTTAAATTAATTTCTAATGGAAATTTCAAGTATTTTTTAGAAAAATAAAGGATTTTAGCAAGAAAAAAATATTTTTAAACATTTACATACCTTTTATGAAACTGAAACTCAAAAATTTAAATTGTCTCTAACAAATCCAGCATGGCACTCGCATAGAATTATCCTATAGGTGTTTTGGTAATTCATACCATGATGTTATCATACACACAGTTTCTCCTGATACACACATGAGTACATACACTTACCTTACACATGTCACTATACATACTATCACCACACACCTTTCCACAATATCCCCTGTATATACCCAACACGACACCCATCACAGCCCTTACCTGATGTTCACAACAATAAGACGTTGTTGTCGGTGCGTTAGTTTCCATAGCGTACATGTTGAATGTCTGGATGTACCATTTGAACTTCAGCAAATGAGCACCAGAAAAAAAAACCGGCATGATCCTCTATGGCAGACAGACCCCCTCTTAGATTTAATGACTCTTTAGTCTAAACCGACAACTGTGAAATCATATTACAAAACATACTATTTATATACATCACAGGACTTGCACACGACTATCTAGTCCCTGGCGGAAGTGTAACCCTATCCTTCTCTTTCATGACAGAAAATGTGTATACAATGACATTTTATACTACATTAGCCTTGCAAGTCATGGATGGGACGTTCACACCAGTAAGGCGATCAATGATGCATGACAATACATGTAAATTGCAGATTCATTCATATGTAATATAGTATATATGCGTATATAAATTTAAAAAAACAACAGGTATATGTGAGTATGCTAACAATGCATACAGTAGCCATATAAAGTAACACTTCTTTACTTTTTGTTGTTATGTACAGGCTGAAACAAGCTGTACTGCTAATATTAGTCTGCCTAAATAATATCAGGTAAACATATTTCCCTTTATAAGACGAAAATTGGTATACATCTCCTCAATGATGGTCCCCTATATAACACTAATGATTGGTATATATCTCCTCAATGATGGTTCCCTATATAACATTAATGATTGGTATATATCTCCTAAATGATGGTTCCCTATATAACACTAATGATTGGTATATATCTCCTCAATGATGGTCCCCTATATAANCCCTATATAACACTAATGATTGGTATATATCTCCTCAATGATGGTTCCCTATGTAACACTAATGATTGGTATATATCCCCTCAATGATGGTTCCATATGTAACACTAATGATTGGTATATATCTCCTCAATGATGGTTTCCTATGTAACACTAATGATTGGTATATATCTCCTCAATGATGGTCCCCTATATAACACTAATGATTGGTATATATCCCCTCAATGACGGTTCCCTATATAACACCAATGATTGGTATATATCTCCTCAATGATGGTTCCCTATATAACACTAATGATTGGTATATATCTCCTAAATGATGGTTCCCTATATAACACTAATGATGGGTGTATATCTCCTCAATGATGGTCCCCTATGTAACACTAATGATTGGTATATATCTCATCAATGATGGTTTCCTATGTAACACTACTGATTGGTATATATCTCCTCAATGATGGGCACCTATATAACACCAATGATTGGTATATATCTCCTCAATGACGGTCCCCTATATAACCCTAATGATTGATATATATTTCCTCAATGATGGTCCCCTATATAACACAAATGATTGGTATATATCCCCTCAATGACGGTTCCCTATATAACACTAATGATTGGCATATATCTCCTCAATGATGGGTCACTATATAACACTACTGATTCGTGTATATCTCCTCCATGATGGTTACCTATATAACATTAATGATTGGATTGCATCTCATCAATGATGGCCCCCTATATAACACTAATGATTGGTATATATCTCCTAAATGATGGTTCCCTATATAACACTAATGATTGTTATATCTCCTCAATGATGGTCCCCTATGTAACACTAATGATTGGTATATGTCTCCTCAATGATGGTCCCCTATATAACGCTAATGATTGGTATATATCCCCTCAATGATGGTTCCATATGTAACACTAATGATTGGTATATATCTCATCAATGATGGTTTCCTATGTAACACTAATGATTGGTATATATCTCCTAAATGATGGTTCCGTATATAACACTAATGATTGGTATATATCACCTCAATGATGGTCCCCTATATAACACAAATGATTGGTATATATCCCCTCAATGATGGTTCCATATGTAACACTAATGATTGGTATATATCTCATCAATGATGGTTTCCTATGTAACACTAATGATTGGTATATATCTCCTCAATGATGGTTTCCTATACTAACTAATGATTGGTATATATCTCCTCAATGATGGTTCCCTATATAACACTAATGATTGGTATATATCTCCTCAATGTTGGTTTCCTATATAACACTAATGATTGGTATATATCTCCTCAATGATGGTTTCCTATATAACACTAATGATTGCTATATC